GGACTAAGGTAATCAGATTACTGAGGACTAAGGTAATCAGATTACTGACGACTAAAGTAATCAGATTACTGAGGACTAAAGTAATCAGATTACTGAGGACTAAAGTAATCAGATTACTGAGGACTAAGGTAATCAGATTACTGAGGACTAAAGTAATCAGATTACTGAGGACTAAGATAATCAGATTACTGAGGACTAAANCATTTATCTCATGCTGAAGTCCACTGTCTGACAGGACAAGAATGGACACAAGTCCACTGTGTGACAGGACAAGAATGGACACAAGTCCACTGTGTGACAGGACAAGAATGGACACAAGTCCAAGAAGGTTCCTGTAAAAGTTCCTCAAGTCCTGATTTTACAGCCTGAGGTTGATTGTTCTTCAGCTCCAGTGATGTCAGTTCAACTGGGCCTCAGCTGGACCTGTTTCTCCTCGACCTTACTGGGTCTGTTCTGCACATCAGACTCTGAGATCTCTGGTTCTGGATCCAGACACAGAGTAGGGCAAAGGTTGCCCCCCCACCCCCCCCCCCTCACCAGAACCAGGTCAGAGTCCTCCTGGAGTTCTGCTGTTTGGACTCACAGTTGGTCTGTTGTGTTTTCTTCAGACTCAGGTTTATGTTGTTACACCTGACGGCCACCAGGTGTCCTCACTTACCTGAAGGTTTTGTTTGGGACTGGTTCCATTCTTCAGTGTTTCTGTTGTTTGACGTGTGTCGTGTGTTAGCCATCCTTCACAGAACAGTCTGCTCTGAAACAATAACTTCTATAATCACATCTTTCAAATAAAAACATCAAAGCTGAACCAGGTCCTGAGACGCATCAAGTTTCAGAACTATTTATTTATAAAAACAACAACAACAACAACAACAACAACAACAACAACAACAACAACAACAACAACACTTAGAAAAACAACTAATCTAAAACCTCTCATGGTCCAGTTGGTCAGAACCAACAGTCCAGATGTGCTGCAGGTGTTAGATGGACATTCAAAACTGGCCTCATGTCGTCATCAGTACATAGCTGTGTCTTCGTCAGGAGATAGACATGTCCCTGTCAGCAAATAGTCTTGTTCTTGTCAGGAAATAAATCCATCCCTTTTCTTGTAGGTAAAAAAACCTGTCCCTGGTCTCGTCACTAAATAGCCTTATCCCTGGTCCCCTTCAGTAAATAGCCTTATCCCTGGCCCCCTTCAGTAAATAGCCTCGTCCATGCTGTCTTCAGTAAATAGTCTCATCCATCTTCAGTAAATAGCCTCGTCCATGTTGTCGTCACTGTCTCCTCCAAAGTCCTCTCCATTGTCAAAGTAGGGCATGCTGTAATCTGTCTCCTGCAGGAAAAACACAGACAGGTCAGAACCAGAACCAGAACCAGAACCAGACCCAGACCCAGACCCAGACCCAGACCCAGACCCAGACCCAGACCCAGTCAGGTTTTCTGAGGAGTATTACACCTGGAGAACACAGGTGAGCCCTGCTCCAGGTGTCACCTCACCTCTTCAAACTCTTCCTCATCGTATTCCTCTTCAGGCTCCTGCTCCTCCTTCTCCTGCTTCTTCTCCTGCTCTCCCTCCTCCTCAGAGCTCTCCTGCTCCTCCTTCTTCTCCAGGGTCTGCAGGTCACATGACACAGGGACAGCAGGTGAGTGGCACACCTGTTGGCTGCTGATGTGTTTCTGTCCAGTTCCTCACCTCCAGGTTCAGGAGCACCTGTTCCTTCTGCCTCCCCTCCTCCTGCTCCTGCTCCTGCTCCTTCTTCTGTCCTGACTGCACTGAGCTGAGCACTGCACCTGAGGACAGACTGACAACTGTAACTAAACTAATCAGATTACTGTAACTAAAGTAATCAGATTACTGTAACTAAAGTAATCAGATTACTGTAACTAAACTAATCAGATTACTGTAACTAAAGTAATCAGATTACTGTAACTAAAGTAATCAGATTACTGTAACTAAACTAATCATATTAATAAGAACTGTAACTAAAGTAATCAGATTACTGTAACTAAAGTAATCAGATTACTGTAACTAAAGTAATCTGTTCAATTCAGTTTATTTAAACAGCACCAAGTCACAACATATGTTGTCTCAGGACACTGGACATGAAAAGAACAATGTAAAGAAGATTGCTGTAACTGAAGTAATCAGATTACTGACAACCATAAGTAAAGTAATCAGATTACTGAGAACTACGACCCCTGTCTAAAAGTCTGGAATCAGCAGTGTTGGATGAGCTCTCATTCAGACATGTCATCCTGTAAAACAAACTCAGATCTAAAACATGAAACAATAATGAGGTCATTCC